GGTTAATGACAATCATCCTACTTACAATGTGTTACATTTTTAAGACACTTTAAGGTTAATTAAGGCCTTATTTTTGGATGGAGGAATTTATTGCCTTTTAAGATTTTTTAAGGACCCACAGGAATCCTGCTTTAGCAACAGGTGAGAAGGAGCCTACTGTGCTGTATACAATAAATACAAAAAAAAAAACTCAAATTATTAAGACAGTAATAGTTTCATATTTGTTTTAAGGTAAAGGGACTCCTCACCTCTGCTGAGTAGATTCTGGGATAAGACAGGAAGTGATTCCGAAACACTTTCACAATAAGGTCGAGCTCTCGCAGATATTGTCGCTCTTCTGCAATTTCTAGCCTTATCAGCTCATCATACGTGAGCTCCCCAAAGGACAAGGGTTCCTCGGTGCACTGCGACATTAAACCGATGTCTTCCTGGTCAAACATGTCCATCAAAACCTAAACCAAAACCACCCAGAATAGAAACCCAATCAATAAAGCTTTATTATAACTTCATTTTTATGAAGTGTGAYAATTTTACTTTCTTACTTTGTCTGCACACATGGACACCTTGATGTCCTGCTGGGTGATTTCATAGTGACGTATGTTGCCAACATAGTTGCCTGCCAGTTTGAGAATATCTGCTGATATGTATTCAAGCACTGCCGCGATGTAGAGAGAAACATGGTAGTCCACTTTGTAGCCCAGAACCTCCTAGTTAAAACAAAGCAGAATGTTATCTGAAGTAAAAAGTATTACACAACAGTTAAAAAGAGGCGTATGATWATGTCAAGCTTCTGTTTGAACATGCATAAAGAAGTACCAAACCACTTCAGCCAACCAAGCTGTCAAACAAAAATATTTTCAGCAAATGGGTATGTATTTACAGGGGGCAGGAAGGGGCTAAAAAAGATTTTAGAAATGTTACCTTTAGCATCGGATGTATTTTGTCCACAGGTAGAAGTAAGGGGTTTCTCCTCTTACGTTTCTCTATGGCTGCCACAGCGTCATTAATTGCCCATTTATCTATAGGGTGGGGAAARGTTTTCTGCACCCTTTCCTGTAGAAAGAAAAGACAAATGTTGTCCTTATAAAACTGCAGATTTTGGACTCTTCAAACACCAGGAAAATGAATTACTGATGTTCTAAATTTCTATTTTTTCCTGGGGGAGGACCTCATAAAATAGTGSTTGGTAGGTGATAAAGGATTAATAATAATCTGTAGTTCAAGTTAAGGCCTGGCTCTGCCCAATCTCTGGTATTACCATTAGGAGGAGTGTACTACATTGTTATCAGAATCAGAATCAGGTTTATCGGCCAAGTATGTTGACACACACAAGGAATTAGTTTCTGGCTGTTCGTGTCTCTCTAGTATTAACAATATACAATATACTTTACATTTAATTTACAGTTAGTTATGGTAGTATGACAATTGGTCCTACTTCTGCAATAGTGTCATCTTAGATAGTTTTTGTACTCATTTATTCATTTATCTAAAATAACAATAACAAATTCTATATACAACAGTATACAATCACAAATTAAATGAAAGGTAGCAGAAGAAAAAAGTCTTATATCTGCCCCTTTTCTCACTAAAAAAATACAATCAAAAAATAAGCTTCAAATACCAAACACAAAGCAAAGAAACATACGAAAAAAATCAATAAAGGTTTAACTTCTTCTTGAGCAACAAATCTTACACTATACCATTTTATWTTTCTCCAACAGATTAACCTTTATCATTCTCTTAAATATACATGCTGATCCGGCCCTTTTAACGTCATCTTCCAGATCATTCCATAACTTTATTCCCTGGACTATAGCACTCCGTCCCCTCGAGCTGGTTCAAACTTTAGGTTTGACAAACTTTTCTGTCCCTTTAAGATTGTAACAACTCTATCTTCTAACAAAATGTAATTGGGTGTTTGAAGGTAATGTTTTTTATGAGCCCTATACATAATTGACAAAACACTATAATCAACCACGTCATAGATCTTCAATAATTTCAACTGATGGAACAATGTATTTGATGGATGACTGTAATTGATTTTTTGCAATAATTCTTACGGCTCGTTTCTGTAAAATAAAAATAGGATTTGTGATTGTTTTACATGCTTTTCCCCAAACATAACACAGTAGATCAAGAGTGGAACAATTATTGCATTATATAATATAAACAGAGTTTTCATTAAATAAATCCTTTACTTTGTACAATACTGCAATGGATTTGGCTATTTTTGTTGTTAAATGATTTATATGAGGTCTCCATGTCAGTTTCTCATCAATGATGACACCCAAAAACTTCACCTCACTGACTCTACAGATCTCAATACCATTAACTCTAAATGGAACATCAACAGTTTTCTTTCTGTTACCGAATATCATATAATTAGTCTTATCTAATTTTATTAACAATTTATTGAGTTGAAACCAAGTTTGTATTTTAACAAATTCTATCTGCATCATTTCCAACAACTGTTCTATATTTCTACAAAAACAAAAGAATGTAGTATCATCTGTAGGGCTGCAACTAACGATTATTTTAATAATAGATTAATCTGTTGATAATTTTTTCAATTAATTGGCCAAATCATTAAAACGCTTAATTACATGAATATGAGTAGATATAAATTAAGTTAACTCCTTAAGGATGCAAGCTATTGATAACGAATTAATCTGAAGTTGATTTATATTATAGACCAGTGTTTCCCAAACTTTTTATCTTCTGACCCACAAACTATCCATGGCAAAAACTTGTGACCCCGAATATTACTGGTCTGAGTACACAAACTTCATTAATAATCCTAAAAACACAGGCTTTTTGACAATTAAACAGCTTGTACACAAATATAAATACTTATTTTTACTTATTTTGTGTTTTTCTAATAATTATAAGGAAACTATTACATCAGCAATTATTTTATTACCCTTTAAACTGATTTCTGGAGATTATCCAAGGTGCTTCATGACCCATGATTGGGTTCCAAGCCCAACTTTGGGAACCAAAGTGCAGTGGTTCTCAAACTTTTCAGCTTTTGACCCACAAAATAACAGTAGCAGAGACCTGAGCCCCCAACTATTTYHGKATGATAAACATTTGTATCAGGTCAACTAAACATGGGCATAGTAACAATATTTTTATACTACATTTATCCATTTTAAATATATTAACCTCACTCCTTTGTAATAACTAAGGCAAAAATGTAATTAATTCAGAAAATATTTTAAGGACCCCTCCTTGATGTTTTGGGACCCCACTTTGGGTCCCGACCCCAACTTTGGGAAACACTGTTATAGACTGATTAACAATTAATTAATAAGCAGCCATTTTTAAAAAACTGGAGTTTTCTCTTGA